TCCGAGTGTGTATGTACAAGGGTTAGGGGTAGGATGAGTGTGTGGGCCTGTCCCAGTGTGTATGTACAAGGGTTAGGGGTAGGATGAGTGTGCCGGTCTGTCCCAGTGTGTATGTACAAGGGTTAGGGGTAGGATGAGTGTGTGGGCCTGTCCCAGTGTGTATGTACAAGGGTTAGGGGTAGGATGAGTGTGTGGGCCTGTCCCAGTGTGTATGTACAAGGCGACACTCGAGAAGCACTGCTGGCTGACATGAAGTTCAGGCCTGGAATGGCACATGTGCTCATGCCTGCAAGATCAGTAGTAAAGTTCCCTCACTCACCAGGTGGTGTCGCCAGAGCTGGTGACAATCTGGCTGTCATCCAGGAAACGACAGCAGGACAGGTAACCTGTGGGGAAAGGAGCAAAGGTCAAGGTTGTGAAAATGTCCCCAAAATCACATGCTGGTAGCTCTGCAATACAGGGACATTGAAATAAGCAAGTAAGAGTCTTCAAAAATGTTAAATGAAGCTAAAAGCTTTTATTTAGGGACTTTTATTTATCCTTTTATACAACTATTTATTTTTCAAAGTCAAATGCTACTCAAAGCGTCACAGAAAAACCAAGGTTTGAGGAGACCCTGCCAGGGAAGGGGTCTCCAGTGAAACACACAGGAGTGGAAGCACTCTGTCATTTTCTGCAATTAAACATCTGGCCGCAGAAACAGTGATCCTGAATAAGCGCCCCGACCGAATAAAGTCAGGAGGCCGTACAGGAAACCCGAAGGGCCCGACCACCTGGCAGGGATTGAGGAAACAAACAGAACTCAAAAGGTTTACTGGTTTAAGTCCTGGAACTGGTCCCACTGCTGTAGCCCTGTGCAGCTGATATGGCCTCACCCAGATGTTCAGTGCTAATATTAGCATAAGGCAGTGGTCACTAACTGGCGGACTGTGGTTCGCACCTGTATCCCCAGCTGGCAAAATTTATTGTCCCCTGATCAACAAATTTGATCTTTTTTTTTAAAAAAAACTTTTTGGATGCAGCAGACCTTGGCTTCGTGTTGCTGATGGAATTCGGCCCTCGGGGGAAAAAAAAAATATCGCTGGGCTGCCGTGGCATAAAGGCCAGTAAGAGCAGCCGACAGCTTCACCGCGAGACCCCTGGCGCCCCCTTGCAGTACAGCACGGGCTAAGCGGCTAAATGCAAATTACACGAAATTTACAGAGACGTTAAGACCCTCTGAATAGCAGCATCTGCTCGGCTGTGTATTATATCAGCCTTATTATCCAGTCGGCAGCGAGGCCAAATCTCCAAAACAAGTACCAAATTACGCAAGGCTGCCTAAAATAATAAAGTTAGTTTAAAAAAGGAGCACCAGCCACCTCATATGACACCCAAGGAAGCCTTGGTGCTGGGCCCGACTGCAGAGGCTCGCGGCAGAGGCGGCCGGCAGGCCCCCACGGGAACAAGGCCGCGATTCAGGGCGCGGCGTGACGGTGGCCGTGCCGGGGGCCCCGCGGTGTCCCTCAGCGGCTACGAGACGAGCGCAGTAGCAGTGCCACAGCACAGAACTGCACTGCTCTGGGGAGAGGGCTGATTTCATAACTGACAGTCAACAGGACATCTAGAATATACCCCAAACATTGAACAGCAAGTATTCTGTGGCAATGGAATGCTGCAACGGGCCGAGTGTGAGCAGGTCATGCTGACGTGATGCTGATGTGCTTATTAACACAGCATCCCCCACAGAACACGGTCACGCTCGCTTGGGACGCGCTCCCAGGGTTCAGCTGGGGTTCTCCCACTCATCAGGGGGAGATCAGCTGTCCAGCACGGTCACGGCTGTCCTGACTGACACCCAACCTGGAGGAGACGCTGAGAAAGGTGCCCCCTTTGGGGTGAGGGCTGGCGGACCCGCCCGCAAGACGCAAACTCCCCACGCTTTCTGACAGTTTCGCTTGCTGCTTTTTCAGTAAGCTGACCCGACTTAAAATCTCTTTGCTTGATCTGACTAGGAGCAGCCAGACCACAAACTCAGCCCAAGAGGCCCATTAAAGCTCCTTAAAATCGAAACGCGGTCACTTCTGACACGGGGGAAACTCAAGAGGGAGGCTCCTGGCTTCAGAGCGGCTGCTGGTCTCTCCAAGCCTCCACACGACTCACTCCTCAAAGGTAGAGCAGTGCTTCAATAGCCAAGGCAGCTAGAGGCACAAGGAATAAGACCAGCTTTTATAACCAAGAGACAGGGTTGTGCACTGGTATCACCAGTTCCAAGAAACACTCAGTAAACTTGCTAAAATGCTGTGAAAATGACTTTGAACAAGATGCTGTAAAGCAAGTCCAGTAAAACTGACGTGTGGAGGAGGGGGGGAGCAGGGCAACCCCTACCTGTGTGTCCGGCCAGTTCGCGGCTCACGCGGACATTGCCCTCGCGAGTCTTCAGGTTGTAGATGGAGCAGATGTTGTCCAGACCACCACATGCCACGTAGTTCCCGGAGGGGGCGTACGCGCAGGTCATGACCCAGGAGGAACGCAGTGGGATGGCGTGCACCTGGGGAGACACTCTGCCGGTAAACCACGGCTGCACCACTGTGTACACTTCAATGGTGATGGACCTGGGTTTGAGCCTCTTGCTAATATGTGGAGCCCTTTGCGGAGGGGGCTAGCTGCTACAGACACAGTGAAGGTGGGGCTTACTTGTGGCCACACCCCCCAAGCTAGACAGGGCATTGAGGGGGAGGGGCCCCAGATGGAATTTATTAGCCAATAAGACAGTGAGAAAGCCAGTCTGCTGGACGTGTGAGCAAACGCAGAGTGAGGACTGAAGAAGGCAAGAGCTGGTGCAGCGAGCGGACAGTCTTACCTTGTTTGTAGTGTAGCTGTCCCAGATGATCAGTTTACCATCCTGGGAAGCACTGACTAGGAGTCTGGGGGGAGAGGGACAGCAGTGTGAGAAACCCACGCATCCTTCTGGAGGCAGCTGGACTGCACAGCCCCCACCAGCAGAGGGCATGATGGCTAGAAATCACTCCCCATAGAATGAATCCCAGTGGTCGACGCACGCAGGACAGGCATGGCCCGCTTACGAATTCCTCTTAGGAATTAGGTGTTAGGCACAGGTGCCCCACGCCAGCTTACACGCCCAGAATGCACCAGGGCAGCATTAGCATGCTGGCTCTGCCCAGACATCCTGGCCAAGCACACATGAGATTAACAGACCGGGGGTCTTACACAGCTGCCTTCGAGCCGCCTGAAGGGGGCGCTGTTCCGGAGAACTCCGCGACTGACGACTTTCAAGAACAGTTCAGCGTTGTTCACGTTTTATTTTCATTTCTTTTAAATCCCCCCCATGACAAAAAATCTACTTATATTTTAAATTTAGACTCAATAACAAGGAAAGCCTCCAAAAACTGTACAGACACTTACATGGCATAAACCGGGCATAAAGGGGGCCCGCTGTCCATCGCCAGGCCTCCCTAACCGGGCATAAAGGGGGCCCGCTGTCCATCGCCAGGCCTCCCTAACCGGGCATAAAGGGGGCCCGCTGTCCATCGGCAGGCCTCCCTAACCGGGCATAAAGGGGGTCCGCTGCCCATCACCAGGCCTCCCTAACCGGGCATAAAGGGGGTCCGCTGCCCATCGCCAGGCCTCCCTAACCGGGCATAAAGTGGCCCTGCTGCCTATCGCCAGGCCTCCCTAAGGACAGCAGGCCCCCTTTATGCCTGTTTAGGGAGGCCTGGCGATGGGCAGCAGGCCCCCTTTATGCCTAAAAAACGGGCATGTGGGAGGACCACTGGGACGAGGGGGCATGGGGATCCTCATCCTTTTAAGCCCACCTGCAGCGGGAGATGTAGAGGCAGCATTACAGGGAGGACTCGGCGAGGGGCCCCCCCCGGTGGCCGCATCAGCGATCGGACACTAAAAATAGCCGGCCGGGCAGGCTGTGCCCGCAAATAGGAAGCTTATGTTTTATCGTTTTTTTTTATTATCCGTTCTGGAAATAGCCAGTGTAGTACGCTGGCAGCCGGCGGAGGGACAGGCGATCGGCTCCTGGGACAGAACCCTGTGGGAGTGTGTCCCTGAGCGATTTGGGGCGGGGGCTGTTATTTGTCATTGAACTGCAAACGTGATGCGGCAGTTGGCCTCCCCCAGAAGGATCGATGAAGTACTGCACTTGGATAATTAATGAGCAGAAGTGCAGGTGATGGGATTTGGGGGGGGGTCTGGGGGTAAGATCCCTGTGGGGGCTTCAAGGGCCTTGCCAGGCCACACCTGGGCAAAAGAACATGCAGGACGACCACAGGAGCATCAACAATGCTCAGCCGGTATTATTACGTTCCACAGCTGCCTGATTAAACAGCAGACATTATAGATGAATTTTGTATGACAATCTCCCACGACAGAGTACCATATGGAAGAGACACTTCCGTATTATTAACCACTATGCCATTGTCGCCCCCATCTTGGACATTTCACCCATAATTCATTAACAGTCATTTATTGGTTTTACCTCTAACTTATCACTACTATCATAACTGCTACTGTTAACAACTCACGCTCAAAGGTAGGAGGTGTTTGCAGCCATGGATCTGATCACCGCTAAACCCCGCTGCCCCCGTGTACGGACGCCCGTACTGATGCAGTGACACGAATGGCGGCGCACCAATGCAGCAGTACCTAGAATCAGTGCCCCAGTGCATGGCGTAGATTTTGGCCAGATGTCCCCTCAGCGTTCGTCTGGTGCGCATCTGGATCCGCCCGACGGGGTCGATGTTTGCCGTGATCTGAGGGAAGACCAGCAGGTGATGTTCGGTCAGAGCGGCTAGTCGTCATGGGCTGGAGTAGCCAGGGTAACTGGAACGTTCGCGGTGGCGCTCGCATCAAAGGCACAGGTTGGGCATGTGCCGGGAACCCAAACTCACTCCCAGACAGAAGCATCCACAAGGCTGGTGATACAAGCCTTGGGCTGAACTGTCATCACCCGGTGGAAAAAACACCACTTCCTTTATGGCAGTGGGCAGACCTTAAGCCAACAGTCAGCAAAAAAAAACATAACAGGTTTTTACCTGAGACAAGGTAGCATCTGCACAAGCTTTCCTGGCATCCTGCAAGAAGAGAAAAGAAAAAAGGTGAAAGCTCGGCCCCTCCCAGGCAAGTGTGCAGCGATACAAACTCCGGCGGCTTCTCCGGCAAAGCCCAATGCGCCATTCCTGGCCTGCCGCACATAGGAGACACATCCACCTCTGCAGTGGCGAACCACCCCGGAACTGGCGGCCGGGGTCACGCCCCTCATAAATCAGCAAGGCTTTGGAATAGTAACTGGAGAGAGAACCCCCACCCCCATACTAGGAGAAATTGGCTGCAAAACACAGTGTTTGAAAAGGGATCACTTTTTAAGCATCACTCCTTCATATCATGGGTGAGAAGCTGCATCTCTTCCTGCAGTCCCTGCTTCTCGTTCCGCTGCTTCCTGCCTGCACTGTGGGTAGGGCAGTGCCGTCCGCTCTGCTGACGGCCCCATGCTCTCGCCGTTGCTGAGCTCTCTCTGGGTCCTCCGCTATGATCCAAAAATGCGCCATTCATGCAGCTGGGCGTAGCAGTGGATCCAAACCACTCTGACCACAAGCTGTTCCCAATCCTGGATCCTGGTAGGAGGCTTTGCAGCTACAGAACGCTGACTACCAGATCCAAGAAGTGTCCTCCACAAAGTGTGTCTGCTAGCTAAAAGCAGACTGCAGCAACATAACTCGCAGATCCACTGCACATGCAGTGTTACACTGCACTATTGCACCACTGCTGTTTGTTTATTGCTAGTTTTCCTTTGTACTGGGTGTGGCTTAAACAAGCATTCCGATGAAGTCACTGCACGTGACCAATGAACACGTGGCACAGAACCCCCTTCGGCATGCACCCTAAGCGGTTCTGGGAAAGGGACCGTCGGCTGGATTGGCGCTGGACCGACGGAGCTCATTAGCCCCATCGGGGTCGTTTTTCCAGCCTGAAGGCAGAGGCCAGTGTCCTCAGCTCCAGGTACTTTTGGTTTTCTTTCACAATGTCTGTCTACCCATAAGATCCCAGAGCAGAAGGCCTCAAAGGACACATTGGGTGTTTCTCAGTATGCATACTTGACCATACATGGTTGCATTATCGCCAAACGATACCCATCCCATGATTCACTGCGCCTCAAGTTTGTTCTTAGCAGGCAAAATAACAAGACCGCTCTTGTCAAGACCACAAGTACGATCTTTGCATTCTTGGTATTGAGAAATACCCATTATCAGGACTATTAACATGGACATAAAATTCCCAGACCCACATGGGCACACTAACGGCCCAGAAATGGTCATGTGATTTACAGCCATCTGCATACATTCAAAATTAAAGATATTCTCCCAAACGCACATGCAGAGTTGGAATTACTAACTGGGGAAGCTGTGTAGTGTTTAGCTAATCAGGGAGAGCAGGAGGAGTTTTGATGACCATATGGGGGACTGCAAGAATGTGTGGAAGACAGAACCGGGGCCATTTCGGGTCAACTGGTGACATCAAGGCAGGAGAAGAGCCACAGAGTGGCTGTGCAGAGACAGGGTCGTGGCATGAGGGAGATGGGGGCGTGGCATGAGGGAGATGGGGGAGTAAGGGGCAAGCTGGCATGGCACAGACACGGGCGTGCCCCCCCCCACTCACTCGGATCTGGTTCTTGAGCTGCTCAGCCTCCTGGCGTAGCTGGTCCAGTTCACTCATTTTCCTCTTCTAGACGGTGTGCTTCGCTCCGGCTGCCGGGACGCTTGCTGATCTGGGGGAGGAGGGAGGAGATGGTCAGCAAGCGCGGTCGTCTTACAGTCATCTGGCACGACACGGACAGGCGATGCTCTGATAACCAGCCCTGCACTGTTACAGCAGGGCCATGGACACAGGGGCCACCGTGACGGCTCTGCAGGGACACCTACATGCAAGACGGCATGCAAGCGGGCGTGGGAACATGGCTGCATCCTGAGCGCCAGCCCGGAATCTCTGCAGGCTTACCAGCGGCCCAGTCGCTCCAGGAGCCCAAGTAACGTCTTTTCCAGTCAGAAGCGGTTGCCTAGCAACAGGATTCTGCTTCTAGCCTTGTGCTTAAGACTACTTGTATCAGAGCCCCCCAACCAGAATGTCAGCTCTTTTTCCAAGGGATGCGACACCAAGAATCTTCAACACTGCACAGTGCCGAAAGCCAACTGGTGAATTAGGGTGTGTTATCGTAGGCTAGGCTGAGGGGTTTGGCCCGAGGGGAGGGGGGCGGGTAGGGGGGTTGGTTAGCCCTAGTGTGAATCTTGCCAATGTCACCCTGCATAATCCCAGGACACAGTTGATTCAGCTTCTCCGGCCAAATCCGGTTAAGACAAAACCTGCTGATGATCCTACAAGCAGTGGCTATCCTGCTGACCCCAATCCACCAGGGAAAACCCACGCCACCCCCCAAACTTTCACTCAGGGGACAGGGATGGAGAAAAGAAAAACACCCCTCCGATTATCAATAAGGCTTAACCAGGGTCTCCGTTTTTAGCCAAGAATTCACCATTAACTACAGAAACGTTACCCTGATCATCTCTTTCTCCACACAAAGCCAGGTGAAGGTGTTTCCTAGTCTTTAAAACTGTCGTTTGTTTTTAAAGCTCCTCTGTTCAGTAATACTTCCTGCCTGTGGCACTGGAGACCCCCAGAGTGCTGATCGCACTATCCACACAGATTCCTCAAGAGCGCACTAACAGTGGGAAGAGGCATGGGGACTGAGTGGAACAGCCTGGGACGCAGGGACACTGGCCTCCACGACTGGAAGCACAGTGACGAAAGCAAGGCATGTGACTAAGAACCATAAACGACTGCTCCATCATCTTGGGTAGATAATGCTCAAAGAAAGGAGTGATGTGTCTTCTAGGAGGAATGCTCTGGCCATTCACAAGCCGCACGTGAAACGGACCTTGGTGAGATGTGTCACTTGTCCGTAAGGCTGGAATCTCATGATATGCACCCCCCCCCCCAAACATCGCCATTAAATCTAGTTTTCTGAAGGTTCCTGAAGAAACATCTGTTACTCACTTCGTCCTCAGCCCTGTCCAAATACCAAAACTCATGACATGCTGATTATACAAGATGAATCAATTTGGATCTGAGAGAACACGTCCTCGGTGAAGCCTACTGACAGCTTACCTTACTTTTCTGTCCCTCTCTTAACCGTTCTTGTGTCTTCGTTGGCTTGGGACCTTTTGAACAAACACCTCACCCAGTGGAGTACCTAATGAGCGCTTTATGGCTGGCTCTCTGTGATTGGCTGGGTAGGGCACACTGCGTTGGTATTTAACCAATGGGACCAAAGCCCACCCCTTAATCTTTTCATAGTAATGTAGTTAAATCTCCTCCACCTCCTCCAGCAATCCACATTGAGAAGAGTCTGGGTGTCAAAACTAGTTAGCAGTCTCCTAGTAACATACATGACCTAGATATGGCTATAATCACCTGGCTAAATTCTGCAGTACTTGGGTGAACCAATCAGATAGATCGGCCTCCCTGGTATATGCAATGCTGTTCAGTTACTGCATCTGCAGAGAAGCAAGCTGGCAGATGTATGAATAATCCATTTAATCAGGCAAACGTGCATTCCTCGGAGGGGTGGGGGCATCTGACGAAGGGAAGACGTCTAGAGTTTGGTAAGGGGGATTTGTATCGAGAAATTTTCAATCATAGATACCCGAGAGAGAGAGAAAGAGAGAGAGAGAGAGAGAGAGGGAGGTGTTCATACACCAGGCAGCACAGTGATACAAAGTGCTCATGTGCAGTCTACTTTATATGTGGACTATTTTTAGTGCAGGGGACGGCTTACAAGGCGGGGGGGGGGGGGGGGGGGAGCGTTTGACGGCATGCCCTATCAGCTGTTATCTGAAGCACCAGCCAATGAGACGTGCAAAAACAAGTGAAATGAAGCTTTATTCAAACACACACGTCAATATCAATGAAAGCTTTTCGTTCTTGGTTCCAATCACACACACATCCCTCATACAGAACGCAACAAACATCACCTTTAATAGCAAAAGCAGCTAATTTCTGACGATCCTCCAGCTCCCAGATCAGCCCCATCCTATGGAAGCTGCCTCCAATTCTCAGCAACTTTACCAGAATGTTCCAGATAGTCAAGCTAATTTGAGGGAGGAGGGAATCATTACTACATACACCGTTCAATCTAGCAGATCATCTGAAAGGCCATCACTTTAAGTAACACCTAAGATTCAGGGACCAAAATCAGAGGGTGCTGGAGCCTTATTCTTGTCTAAAGGTGCCGGCGATTCACCTGTAGTTCTGAGCGAGAAAGCATCCCTCGTGGTTCGAGACGCATTCAGAAAGAGCACAAAAGGGCACCGTCTAGCGAACGTGTCACAGGATGCCACTCTGATGGTGTAACCAGCCCCCGCTGTCACAGCTGAAGTAGGGCTAAACTGTCGTCAAAACGGGGGGGGGGGGACCACGCTGCCTGAATGGGAAAGACAGCCCAGCAACACCGTAGCCTAATAAGGCTAATTGTTCTAGAACTATCTACAGAGGATGAAGAATGGTAGCAATAATTAGAGGTCAGAGGCACTGCAGTGGAAGAGGCCTCACCTGGTCGATAACACTTTAAAGCAGAAGTATCGTGCATCGGAAACATTTCACAGCAGATGGAATGTGTACCATGCATTCGCAAAAATTAAATCGGGGAAGAATTGGATGCATTAATAGCGTACGGTTTTACATCTGTTCCTTCACAACACGAGAAGGGCAAATTAATGCTAATTTAGACTGGACCACAAGGAGACAAAGCAATTATCAGAAGATAAGATTTTATTTTAAGCTCAACATTTCAAAACGTCATACGAACTTGGCGAATACACGCTCGGGGGTTTCCTGAAAACCACTTATGCATGGTGGGAGAAGAGCTTGTGAAAAGATAAACACTAAAATAACAGCCACTGAGCACATCAGCAGCTATTTAACGCAGCGAATTTAGCGCCTTGTCAACCAAAACCCTGGCCTTGTGATGACAACCATAAAGTCTGGTAGATCACCACGCCTACAAAAGGCTGGAAGACACAGGTGCTCAAGCGGGGAATGACGCTGAGGACAGCGATCCGTTTTTTGGAGTGAGGGACGGAAGTATCTAAGGTAAGGAAGGGGCATGTTTAAGCGTCACCAAGGAAGATGGCTGGAGCTAATTGTCTCAAGACAGCGGCAGATTACCCTAATGAGAGGGAACAAGCAGAGGACTAATTACTCGACAGGCGAGCAAAGACTGCAGGCCACCACACCCTTCAGGGCGGGGCTACGATGCAGACTCCACAAAAGCACGGTGACACTGCCGGATAACCAGGCATCCGAAGGGGTACCTCCCACGGCCAGTCCACTCCACAGACACCAGCTGGCCACACAAAACGTTACACAAGGTGAGACTGGTATTTTTAGCTAGTGTGAGGGCAAAAATAAGAGTCTGTGTCTAACTCAAGAAATGGGAAACAAAGAACCCTGAATCAACTCCACTCCCTCTGCTGGTGAGTGTAAAAATTAGATGAATAGTGTTAATATGTAATTTAACAGAACATTTAGGAATTAAAATAAGGGCAAAATTGATACAAAAATTATGGCATTGCATTTACAATGTGTTTCATCTATAACTCATTTTGAATTAAATAATGTAACAATTCAATTGAAAACTACACTAATGAAAAATAATGACCACTGTAGTTTAATCTAGGGTTAATCAGAGCTGGTTAATGATGGTCACTGGCTTATCTGCCAGTAGCAACCAACCAGAATTAAACAGTGATGTCCTCATAATATCCTCAGTGGCCAATCGGATTTGAGTTACATTTCCAAGGCCTTCTGATGAAGTTCAATAATGCAATATGGGAGTGAAAGCAGATTGAGAAATACAATCTATCTACAACTGAAGCACCTTTTCCACTGATGGGCAGAAAGAGGCCCCCACCCAGAGTCACAGGGCAGCCGGGTGGGAGCCTGAATGTCGCACACCGTGTCATAGATAAAACATGATGTCCTGGTTTTGATGGAAGCTTAATTATTAATTTGTGCCCCCTCTCAGCTCCCCTAACTCCCAAAGGCACAAATTAAGTAAGGAGATCAGATCTTCCCCTGAAGAGACCGGGTCTCAATCTCACCACCACCCCCATCACTGCAGGGATGTAGGGACCTTCACCCAGGGCAGCCCCACCCTGCCCCGCCCCACCCTGGGCAGCCCCACCCTGGGCAGCCCCACCCTGCCCCGCCCCACGCAGCAGGAGGATAAACGCGATGCCACTGCCCCCTGAAAGCCTGTTTCACGCCCTTCTACCATCAATTCTCCCCAGTAACCGTCCTTCATGCGTTTACATGGGGGGGGGGGGCATGAGGCTGAATGTGGAGCTGAGTGCTCGTAAATAATACATAGATCATGTCTGCTCGCCCCCCCCCGCTGCTGCCTCCATCACCAGTAACCCACCACACATTACTCTCCACTTACCAACCTCAAGTCGTCTTTGAGGTAATGCTCTTAAATCTCACCACCTTGGTTGTGCCGGAGCGGATGGTCAGCTTCTGGTCGTGGTCTACAAGACATGCTGCATTCTACTAGATATCTATACAAAATGTCAGCTGAGTTACGTAGTGCAGCACATGACAGTCAGGTTACGCACCCAGGCTCTCTACAAAGGTAAACCTGTTCAGTGATTTCGGGAATCTGACCAACCACCAAAAAAACAAAAACCTACCCTCCTACTAAACTATGACGTTCCT